CTATTCTCCTCAGTTTACAACACTCCAAACTTCATGCTATCCACAAATGGGACTGCAATATAAATAACAAATACTGTTAAGTGCCAGGCCTAATTTTCTGCATTGAGTTTAATTAGCAATTAATCTGCATAGGAAACATATGGATGAAATTTATGAGGAGGTTGAGGACAAGCTGTTGTTTTGGTGAAACTAACAATAGAGTGGTGCATAAACATTGGCAACTTGCAACTGATGGAAAATCTCTTCCTTCTGACAAGCTGTTGAAAGTTTTACACATTAGTTATGTCAAATGTCATTGAATATGTGGCTATTTCAGCAGCAAAAATCTACAGCTTTGCACTTTAAGTTCACTGGTCAGTGTACCTAGTTGAAAAGCTGGAAGTTTGAAAACAAACACATTGCTGCCACCTTGTGGGTAAATCATTCAAATGCACTCATCTTGACACAGTGAGGTCGTTCATCCCATCATAGGGTCTGCTCTCTCATGTCATGCTCTATCAGGTCCTGCCTGGCTCCCAAAGCAGCTGAGCTCTGTCATGCACAACGAGAGCTTTTGCCTCTCCAATGTCATCATCCTGCTCTTCAGAAGGCTGATCCAATTCCGCCAGATCCATGATCAAAATGGGTAGCCTTTATCTCCTAGTAACCAGCCTTGTAAAGTCCCTAGACCCTGAAACACACTAAGTACACAAGGGTGCTCCTGGATGTGGGATTTTTGGTACTGCCAGGGTAGCAGGCATACACCCGCAAAAAGTGCTAATAGTGGCCAAAGATCATATAGGCATTAATGGAATGGAAGCACTTCCTTTTGGTGAATTCTGTGGCATATAATACAGCCCTCTCAGTGCCATGTGCACACAATCCATGGCACCCTTCACATGGGGGAAACCAGATATGTTTCCAAACTCTACTGTTCAGGCACTGTCCTTATTATGAGAAAACAAAATGAACCACAGTCATCTTGCTTAGATGGTATTAGACACGGTCCTGATGCATTTGTCAGTGCATGACTGAGACAATTTCACATCACTTCCTGAAAACAGCCAGTTGCTCAGACGTTCAATGCAGCTGGCACTTTCACAGCCACCAAGAGAGAGTGGCTTCCTACCCCTGCAGCCTTCGGGTCCCATTCTAGTATCCAGCATAGATGCATCACAGTGTAACAGGGCATATGGAGCTTGTACTATCGCTGCGCTTCATTCATGGCAAGGAATCAGGGCAAAAAGCTCCGGTCCTCCTGCAGACCTGATGCACATCTTGGAGATGTGCAGTTGCCTGCCAGTGCAGGGTGTTTCTTGGCTTCCATAGCAGTTTGTTGCTACTCCTGAGCTTGCTGTTCATCCTGCATCTGCCTTTGCCTTCTTAGAAAGGCAAACACAGTGACCAATGTTCCACAAATGACTATTACATTAAGAAAGAAATGCCTGCTGAGCTCTGACCTCTTTCCCATCCCAGACTGGCATTGGCCATGAAACTTATCACTGCACTCACTAGACTGCATCATAATACTTACAAGACAGATGATAAAGTGATCATCTCCCACAGCTCCCTTGAAAGTTTCACAAGTTATGAGCCACTTTTCATCAGCATTCTCCTCTTTTTCAGTCATTGCCCCTAACACTTGCATCATTGAGATGCCAATGTTCAATGTTCAAGCACCAATGGTATGGTTTTAACCACCATTTGAAATCTAAACACATTGTCCATTTGCAATGCATGTAGAATCAATGAAATCATTGCAAACTAAAGGTAGCTGCAGTTTGCAAGGGCATGCTTCATGTATTTGTCCTTTAACATTCTATGGTCCAGCAAACATGAATCCTGCACATTTTGCCTTTAAACCCCAGGTGCTGTCCTAGCCATTTTTAAGTTGCAATTACCATCTGGTGAATGGCAAGCGATGGCAAGGAGCATAGCTGGTCACCAGGTACCCTTCCTAGAGTCTCCATGTCCCTTCTTCATTACATAAACTAAAAGGTGTCAAAGTGGAAATAAGCCATTCAGCCTATCGAGTCTGCTATGCCATTCAATGAGATCATGTTTGATTGGATAATCCTCAATTTTCCCTTCCCTAGTATCTGCTGAACTTGGAGGCTAGCCTTTTGTAATTTAAGTATGAGCACCCACCCCACCAAATCCCTCTGAGCTATGGCTTTCTGTAGTCTTTCCCCATTTCAATAATATTCATCTGTTCTATTCTTTCTGCCAAAGTGCAATACCTCACATTTTCCAACATTATATTACATCTGTCATGTTTTTGTCCACTAACTTGACTATAACCCTCTGCAGACTCACTGTGTCTTCTTCACTACTTTCTGTCCCACCATTTTTGGGTTACCCACGAAGTTGATTACAGTACATTTATTTACCTCATCCAGATCATTATATATTGTAAACAATGTGGCCCCAGCACTAATCCCTGTGGCACTCCAGTAATTACAAACTAATCCTGAATATGGCTTCCTTACTCCAACTCTGTCTTCTGTTAGTAAGCCAATCCTCTATCCATGCTCATATACTACCCCCAACATCATGGGCTCTCATCTTATTCATTAGGCTTATGTCGAATATCTTAGCAAATACCTCTGGTAATCCAAATTTATACTACTTCCGCTTTATCTATCCTGCTTGTTACCTCTGCAAAGAAGTCTAATAAAGTTCTCAGGTAACAAGGTGTAGAGCTGGATGAACACAGCAGGCCAAGCAGCATCAGAAGAGCAGAAAAGCTGACGTTTCGGGTCTGGATCCTTGTTATCTCAGATTCTCCAGCATCGGCAGTTCCTACTGTCTCTAATAAATTTCACATCCACGATTTCCACTTCGTGAAGCCATTTTAACATTGTTTGATTATGTTATGTATTTCCAAATGCTCTGCTGTTTACAACTGTCTAACTTTTTTCCAATATCAGACATTAAATTTCTTGGCCTATTGTACCCAGTTTTTTTGTCTCCTTCCCTTTTTAATGAAAGGTGTTACATTTAGCAGTTTTCCAATATTCTGGCAATTTTTCAGAACCTAAGGTTTCTTGCAAGAATACTACCAGTGCATTCAGTTCTTTAGGTACTTCTTTTAATATGAGGATATACCTCACTGGGTCCAAGGGATTTATTGGTCTTTTAGCTCCATTAAATTCCCTACTACCTTTTTCTCTGGTGATACTTACTGCATTTATTTCCCTGCCTCCTTTTGCCCTTTGATTATTTAGCAGTTGTGGACCGGTATTAGTGTCTTCTACTGTGAAAACTGATGTAAAGCATTTATTCAACTCCTCTGCCTTTTCATCTTCCCCACTATTTCTCCAGCCTTGTGCATGAAGGTGCCTATAGTCACATTGGCCTCTCTGTTCCTTACATATAATATATATACACACGCATATGTATATAAACAAGCTCTAGTTGTCCATTTTGATATTACTTGAAAATTTACCCTCAAAGTTTATCTTCTTTTTAAATTTATTTGATCATCTTTTGTTATTTTTTAAAAAAAACTTTCCCAATCCTCTGGCTTACCACTAATCTTGCCACAATTTATGTTCCTATAATTGGAGACCCACCACATTGAACTTAGCTTCTAACTGTTCTCCTTGCTCCCGGCGTCCCACCTGTATACCTTACCGATGCCCACCATGGTCATCCATGCTGCCCCTGTGGATACTGTCACTGTCAATGACACCCCCTCCCATAGCCTACCAGGTCCTCCAATGCTATTCCACATATGCCTCTTATACCTCGACTTAACTTCCGTTCACCAGCCATGACCCCACCTCAACACGTGCTTTCCCCCACTGCCTTGACTGCCCCTATGCTTGTCAGTAACGAGAGGTCCTTCTTACAACCTCCTCAACAATCAATGGGCAGACCTCCAATATGGCATTCGTTAGAAACCTCTGACCAACTTTGACAAACAACCCTTAAACATGACTAACCTGACTCCTGACCACTGTCTTTGCAGCTCCCAGACAGGCAACACGTGATTCCCTTGACTGCTTGTGGTAGCCCTACAAGTTTGATCCTTGTCCAGTCCCTGGATTATAGTCAGGCATATCCATTGACTGTGACTGGCCTGAGCAGATGATTGAATGTGGCCAAGTTATCAGCATCTGGTTTGCTTGCAGCAGGTGATAGGATAGGAAGCTGAATATGAAAGAAGCAAGATGTGAAGTTAATAAAGTCATTTACAAGCGATAATCCACCCCTAATAGGCAACTTGCCGTTACCTACAGAGAATCTAACCTCAACCTTCGGATCTTAGCTAAACAATAGAGAGTTCCTCCAAATGTTGTGATAGGCCTCGCTGGATTTCTTGTGCGATTCTGCCACATTTCTCACCATAGGCCCCTGTAAGATCCTGCCCAATGGTTTTATGTACGTTTCTTCCAATTACACCAGATAGATTCTGTGTGACAAAGGACCCAACATGCATTTATATGGTGCATTTTATGACATTTAGATGTTCCAAAGGGTTTAACAGCCATTGAAACAATCACTATTGAAACGTAGGAAACAAAGCAGCAAACTTGAAGTCTTAGGTACTGCTATTGAGATAAAATACCTCAAGTAACCTGTGCTGCTTGTGTTGGTAGAGGAATAAATATTTGTTGCGACACTAGAGCTCTTTGGCTTCTCGCATAATGGCATGTTAACATTTATATGGCAAGGCATCATATTGGTCATCTAAAACTCAAGCTTTTGGGGACTATCAGAGAATTGATCATGTTTTCTGGGATCTGAGGTCACAGGCAGGCTATCGTTTTAACATCTTATTGGAAAGGTGGCATTTCCAATGGTGCAATATTCCCTCAGTACTTAAGAGTCATCTTAGTCCATGTGCTCAAATATCCAGTATGGAGTTTGAATAATGATCTTCTGACATGGAGGAAAGCCTGTTATCAGTGAGCAAAGTGATACCTAAATCAATTTTTACTTTTTTGTGTTATAATTTCACAAGAAAATGTTTTGGTAGATAGAAATTAACTAATCATCTCCTTTGTTCTTCACAGGTTGAAAACTGCTGTCACTTTCCTCAACTCAGTTTGCAAAACTGAATGCCATAGTTTACAATACGGGATACAAATCAGCTGCTTTTTGGAAAACATTGAATTACTGTGCAATTCACGCTCGAATAGATGGCTTCACAAGTAATGTTCCATAATGCCACCTATCTCTCAAATTACGTTAACTCAGACAATGGCAATTCCAAAAATTTTACTTCAGGTTTGGACAATTGCACAATCAACAAGTTTTCGAAAGCACAAAACTTAGTTTCAAGATGTGTTTACATCTACAGTGTATTTGGACTTTTGGGACTAGTAATGGGCATCCTCATCCTCATCAGAAACATTAGAAACTATAAGCAGAACATGAATTTTGAGAAACTTGACATCATACTATTGTCGCTGACAGTGGCAGATCTCACACTCATTCTTTTCTCACTCACTGATGCAGTCAGACCAGAGGAGATAAATATCACTGCGCTTGGCTGTGCCATTCTCTCATTCTTCTTCAATATCTCCTACTTCTACACAGGATACACTCACATTGTGATTTTCTTCTTGGCATACGACCACCTGGAAGTGGCGAGGAGAGCTTTGAAAAAAGTGTATATCTCCATCTTGGCTGTAATGGGCATTAGCATCACCTTCTCCATCCTGATCACATCGTTAACTGGGGCTGGACACCACCCGAACATGTCAGTGAACTGCCACGTGGACCCGCTTGAAGCCCCAGCCGAGTACAGCATTCTCAAGTTTGTCTTCGGATTCTTAATACCAACACTCATCATTCTGGGCTTACTCCTGCATTTCCTGGTCCGTTCCAAATGCTTGCAGAAAGCACAGGAGCACCAAGGTCACATTGGGTGCTTCCATCCTCAACGGGTGTTTCTGATGCTGGTAACAGTGACTTTTATTTGCCGCTTGATTTATAATGTTTTGCTTCTCCACAAATCTCAAGAGGACGCATGGCACCATATTAGTGATTTCAAACTCAAGCCTCTGGTGACTATCAGAGAATTAGTCATGTTTTCTGGCAGCTGCCTGTGCTTGATGTTTATTGCAATTTTTCACGAGCTGCGTCACCAAGCCATGATCAATGCTTACCGAAACCATAATGTCATGAGTCCCAATATTGAGATCACTGGGAACCACGAAGAGTCTGCATCGCTTAACTGAAGTACCTGCCACCCAGGAAGGATAGAATTCTGCAACAATTAACTCAAACAATGCAGTGACAAATGCTACTGCTTTAATTCTGTCCCAAAATGTTTTTTTGAAGCAGGGTTTTTTGGCTTGCTTGAACATTCTCAAATTCTTTTGAAGACCTATTCTACAATGACCTACACCCAGTCTGAAGCCTCTACTATGTCATTCTGGATACAACTACATTCTGGAAGGAATTAGGTAGAACACAATACCCTCAGGGCAACTTTACTACGGTGACATGTGTTTCACCATTGAAAAGATGAAGTATGGAAAATCTAAGTGTGGAAAATCAGCAGTACAAGCAACTCATTAACACCTTTTTTTTTCTTATAATGGGGCCAAGCACAGATTTAGCTAAGAAAAGTGACAGAACAACAGAGTTAAATTATTATAAATCATTTGATGAACACAAATGATCCCTGGTTTAAAACAAAGGAAGTTTTGATTTGCTATTTTTTAATAACAAAATGGTAAAGGTCTTGTAAAATGTAAGATGCTTAAAAACAGATGAAGCTGCAGAAAATAGGCTACAAGTTACAAAGTTAAGAGATTCACGCATACAGCTCCTAAAACCACAGGATTTGGTCTTTTCACTCCTTATTTACCAAGGAGGTCACAGATTATAAAACGTGCACAGCATTGTAGCTCCAAAGCATGTAGAGTGGGAAAAAATGTCCACACTTGATTGTAGCCAGCAGTAAATCTACAGAACAATCCACGCAAATGACACCAGCCATCGTTTTAACTGATAGCATTACATTAAGTGCCAACATTAATGAGCTACTACACAACATTGGCTGAGCACAAACAGTGCCAAAATTGCACATTTTACTTTTACTCAAGAAACAGAGTGCTGTAATAATGGCAGTGGATTAGAAGCATAGGCTTGAGTGACAGATTTTACTAAAATGTGGCCTCACACCGAAGCTTCCTTGATGAGAAGAAGCCGATTGTTGAGTGACTGCAGTTAGCTCCTCCTCTAGCCTCAAAACTTGTGAAATCTTTTCATCCTCCATAGTGAAAACATTTTGCTTTTAAAGGTTGGGCCATGCTCAACTGTTCAGAACCACAGATGACCAACCAACAATGTGTGCCGTGGAGGCCCATTAATCTGAATATTGAACAGTACTGAATAGCAAGTGTGAAGTATTTAGTGGAGAGATGAACAAACGACACTTTGTTAAACTTGTGAATATCCACCAATAAAGAAAGTGCACTAGAAATTAGTGACGACGGCATTGCAATCAAGTAACAATCATATTGTGAAGTGATTTCATAGCCTACTTAATTCCGAGAATGAAAGGAAAAATGGCATCACTTCCTGCAAGACTGTCTGAATACACATTTACAAATGAGGTGCATGATCAACATTAAAATCATACTTTAAAAAACATATAAAAATGATTATACCAGCTCCTGCAAAAAATGCAACTTCCTTCCATGAACATCTTGGTTCTGAAATTAAAGTTAAATATTTTGACTTTTGTATTTTATATCTTAACTGATTGTCTGTATGCTGAAGAATACTAAATGTAAAATATTCAGTGCTATTCTGAAGGGTAAAAAATGGTTAACTGTAAGTTAAATTTAGTAAACATGTTAACCAAGTGTAAACATCAAATTAAATTGCTTGAAGCTTCTAACCACACATATTTGGAGAACTGACTTAAAATGGCATCAAATTTTATGCAGACCATTCAATCAACTGTACATAGGTAGACTTGCAGGAATAGGCAAAAAAAGTGCAATGATTTGTCTGCTTTGCCCGTTGGAATCCTGATAATTGTGCATTGATAGTAGGAACCAATCTCCACGTTGTATGACAGTTATAACAGGTTCAGATCTGACATGAAGAAAACTCCCATGTGTTGGAGCTTTGAGAACCATTGGTCCAAAGTCAGCTGTTGCTCCCAGGTACACTGCACTGACTACACGTCATGTCTTAAATTACTCATACACTGTATCTCAAAATAGTACCAATTGGCATGATGTTACAATATAGGGCAATATATATTTTTGCCACATTCTAAATCAGGTCAGGAAATTAAAAGATATCTAACTGCAGTCTACTGGTCACATGTGCCACATAAGAGTCTGGTAAATGGTCCAGGAAGCTTATTTTATTTGCATTAGTTATTATAGAATTACTGTATAAAGGATTTGAAATGTCATGCGGTAGTTTACTCGTGTGTTAGCGATTCCTGAATATGTTACTTTTGACAGATGAGAGGCACTTACCTCCTGCTTTAGATGAAAAAAAATTATCCACTGAGCAGCAATGACCAACAATGTTTATTCCCACTGTTTATATCCTTCTCCAAGTGCAGTTTTCCATTACCTAATGACGGCACTAACAACACTGTATATTTTCCTCTAACGAATTAATTTAATCAGGATAAAGCAAAAGTCGTGACTCTGCAGGAGTCATTATGTTGACTAAAGCAAAAAAGATCCTTTTCTTAAGAAGAAAGCTTTCCTCAGCACTTGGAGGGTTCGAGGATGGAGTCAATTTAACCACAGTTACAGAAAAAAGGGTGCAATTACATGGTAGGTGTAGTAGAACTGTTATAATGGGGGAACTTCAATTACCCAAAGACTGGGATACTCACGGCGTGAGGCGCAGTGAGGGTCAAGTGCTCCTGGAGTGTATTAAGGAGAGTTTGCTACAATAGTGTGTGTTTAGTCCAACAAGGGCCTGGTGCTTGGAAATGAGGTGGGCCAAATGTAACATTTAGTGAGGCAGTGATCATAAGGTTCAGGTCGGTGTTAAGAGAATGACATGCATCAATTCAGGGCAAGTAAAATCAATTGGCAGAGAGCTGACTTTAATGGGGCAGGAACAGAGCTGAGCAGGATTGTTTGGAATGAGAGATTGGTTTGCAAGATCAGTAACTGAACAATGGACCATCTTCAAGGAGTAGATGGTTTGGGTACAATCAAGGTATATTCCCTTTGATTGGAAAGGTAAGACAAACAAATCCAGGGTTCGCAGGATTATTTTATTAATTAACATTAGAAGGAAAAGGTCTGCTTATGACAGGCATAAGGCAGAAAATACAACTAGAATCAACAGGAATACCAAATGTTTAAGGGAGAAGTCAAAAAGCAAAGAGGAACAATGAGAAAATAACTAGAAGCTAACAAAGCGAAATCCCTAAATTTTCTATAGGAATACAAACACCATAGAGTAGTTAAAGGAGTAGTACAGTCAGAGACCAAAAAGTGGATTCACAGATAGAGCTAGAGGCGTTAAATGAATATTTTGCATTTGTCTTCATAAAAGAGGATGATATCCAGGCCCAGTTGACAGTGGAAGAAAGCCTATCAACAGAAGGGACCAATATTAACAAGAAAGAAGTCTTGGATAGACTGTTGGTACTTAAAAAGATATCAGTACCAGATAACATGCAGCCAAGGATTGTAAAGAAAGTGAAGGTAAAAATTGCGGAGGGACTGGTCATAATATCTGTCTTCTCTGGACTTCAGGGAAATGCCAGAGGACTGGAAAATTCCAACATTATAGCCTTGTTCAAAAACAGATGTAAAGCTGATTCCAGCATTACAGACTAGTTGATTTAACTTCAGTAGTGGGCAAATGTTTGGAAACAATTATATGCATTAGAATCAGTAGTCACATGGAAAAAGGTGGGTTGATTAGAAAAAGTCAGCATGGATTTCTAAAGGGAAAATCTAACATACTGGAGTTTTTTTTTGAAGAGATAACACAAAGGTTCAATGAGGGTAATGACATGGTATACATGGATTTCCAGAAGACATTTGGTACAGTGCCTCACAGCAGACTTGGGAAGAAAGCTATAGATCATGGTATAAAATGGACAGTGGCAAATAAAGGTACAATATTGGCTGAGAAATAGAAAACAGAGTGTAATAGTCAACAGATATTTTTCAGGCCAGAGAGGGTTTGTCATGGAGTTTCCCAGAGGTCAGTACTGGGACCCTTACTTTTCATGCTATGTATTAATGATCTCAATCCTGGTGTGCAGGGGACAATTTCCACGTTTGCAGATGACCCAAAACTTTGAAGAATTGTAAACTGTACGGAGGATCATGTAGAACTACAAAAGGACATTAACAAGCTGGTGGAGTGAGCAAAAAGGTGGCAGACGAGATTCAATGCAGACAAGTGTGAGGTGATGCATTTTGCTTAGCACTAAAAGACAATATAAAATACAATTCTAAAGGGCATGCTTGAGCAAAGGGACCTTGGTGTATACGCGCACAGATTATTGAAGATGGCAAGATAGGTGGAGAAAATAGTAAATAAAGCATACAGTGTTCTAGGCTCTATTAGTAGGGTATAGGTTACAAGAGCAAGGAGGTGACATTGAACTTGTAAAAGACACTTTTTAGACCTTGCTAGAATATTGTGTACTGTTGTGGGAGCCACGTTATCAGAAAGATGCAAAAAACATTGGACTGAATGCAGAAGGATGGTTTCAGGTGTGAGAAACTTCAGGTATCAGGAAAGATTGAAGAAGTTGGGATTGTTCTCCCTGGAGAGAAGCTGAGAGGAGATCTGATTGAGGTTTTCAAAGTCATGAATGGGTTGGGTAGAATAGATGACATGAAGTTGTTTACACTTGTCGAAGAAACAAGAACATGAGGGAATGGATTTTAAATTGATTATACAAATTAAGCAAGGGTGACGTGAGAAAATAACATTTTCACACAAGAGGTTGTTAGGGTATGGAACGGACTGCCTGAACATGTGATGGAGGCAGGTTCAATTGAGGTATTGAAGACTGTTTTGGATGCTTTCTTGGATACCAATGGTGTGCAGGGATATGGGGAAAAGGTAGGAGTTTGGCACAAGATAATAGAACCAATGCAAGCATGATAGGCTGAATGGCTCCTTCTAAATCGTAATAATTCTGTGATTCACTCCTGCAATGCTCTGACAACAAGGGGGGGAGTATAAGCATTGAATCCTTGTTACAGCATTGGTATTGGTCTATTATCTTTTGCTACACTAAATTTGGTTGCAAGTAGCCAAATGGGCCATTTAACTACTGATTAAAAAGTCTTTAAGGGGGTGTCAGGAGCAAGTTCAGACTCATAATAATGATTGTGATAATGAAGTCAGTTTCAAGGTGGAGAGAGGAGGATAGACTATAAAGAAAGGAAAATTAGTCTTTAGCATTCTTACCACCCATGACTTAAATTGAAATTTTCATATCTGCTTCATTTACCTGAAGAAGCTTTGCTACATTCAACAATTACCCTCCATGCCCATCTCAATCTCTATTAAATCTCTACAAAGCCCAACTCCATCCAAAACAAAATACTGCTCCTTAATCTGATGAGGCTATTCTACTAGGAGCTCCCTCATTCACCATGACTAGATACAATAAAAAAATCTGCTCAACACTTGATTGCTTGTTCCCAATGGCAAAACCTGCCTGCCACAGCTTTTTTAATTTTGCTCTGATTTATGATGTTACTGAGTGCTGCTCTAGCCTTACCCTCTTTATCCTCTTCACCTGAAAATTAACTTTTTGACATACAGTATGCTTTCTCTTCCTTATGTTCCACCATTGTTGAAATTCAGATTCATTTGTTCTTTCCTCGGTCCACAAAACTACGGGACTCCCGATTTTCCTTAGTGATTCCTTTCTATGACAATCTTCCAGCTTTGGACAGCCAAGGCCAGTATGATCTGATCAGTACAACTTCTTATTTTAGTTGGTTCTCCTCAGTGAATTAGACAAAACTAAATTATATTCAAGGTTATCTTCAGCTGCACAACCTTCAAATCGTACTGACGTTATAATTGTATTCAATGTAAATTAATGAAAGAGCAATAAAAGCTGTCAGATCTCATCAGTAATCAGAAGGAAGAGTGTCATTATATTCTACTTGCAGCACTGTTTATTTCTTGCTGGTTTTGTAGCTTTGTGCCTATCTCTCTCTATTAACTTCTCATGTTGTTCATTTTTCTCAGTGCATTATCGATCTCAGCTTTTCACCTTTGTTTCTTAGTAATAAAACAATATAGTGCAATACTGACCTGGATTCAAACTACTTGATGGTTCTGTAGAGAAGTAAATTTGTGAAAAAATGTAAAATGCCATTACATTTCCACCCAGTGGCAAGCCTTGCATATGACAGTCATACAATACAGTCACAGATGTGCAGCATGGAAACAGACCCATCAGTCTAACTCATCCATGTTGACCAGATATCCTAAAATAATCTAGTCCCATTTACCAGCATTTGGCCCATATCCCTCTGAACCCTTCCTATTCATATACCCATCCAGATGCCATTTAAATGTTGTAATTGTACCAATCTCCACCACTTCCGCTGGCAGTTCATTCCATACACATACCACCACACTTTGCATAAAAAAAGTTGCCCTTAGGTCCCTTTTAAATCTTTCCTCTCTCACCTTAAACCTTTGCCCTTTAGTTTTGGACTTCCCTATCCTGGGGAAAAGACCTTGGCAATTCACCCTATCCATGCCTCTCATGAGTTTATATATCTCTATAAGGTTACCCCTCAGCCTCGGACATTCCAGGGAAAATAGCCCCAGCCTGTTCAGCTACTTCTGCACATTCAACTTTGAAACAGTTTTCCACCGGTACACATTAAGTAATTAGGTATCAAATACATCTACTTAAATTTCAAGTCTCTCTATTATAAAGACTACTCCAACACCATACATTTCGCATCCAATCTTCCCTCAAACAATGTGCCAAAATTCTTATATTTGCTTTCCTCATCACTAGGTTCCTCCAATTAGCCACTCTACATGAACTCACCTTTGTGTAGAACTGTCATTGTTTGTCCTGCATTAAATTCTCAGTCAGGCCTGTCCTCATAATTGTACACAAGTTACTTATTATTCAATGCACTGAATTCAAAACTCTTGTTCACAAATCTTTATGGAACATCACTCAATATGCCTGCAACTTCATTCAGCCTAAATTCCAAGATGCATTCTTCACCCCTCCAGCCTTGTTTTCTGTACATGCTTCCATCATTCTGCAGATCTGCTACATGACCTGGAATTCCAACCCCAAATGTTTGCTGTTTTACTTCCTTCTTAAAAGCTTCCTCAAAAGCATGTTCTTCTATTAGTCAGTGTTTCTTTTCTTCTGTGTTCTACTCATGAGTAAGACCAAGGGCCTCTGCTGAAACAGCCACAGTCACGGATTAGGTCAAATGTGTTGTAACTCACTGACATCTCTGAACTACTGCTTGGACCTAACTCTGACCACCTGCTGCTTTTAAGGTATTTGAAAAATTTTAAAGGACTTTGACAAGTTGCAACCCAAGAAACTGTTTACCATGGCACCAGAAATGGCAACAATATGCAATGTCAAAGCACCTATAGCTTAATGAAATATTCCAAGGGAATTGGGTGGAGCTCAAAATAGGGCACGTTAATGAACAGATCCGATATATAAAGAGTAGAGACTGCTAAATGTTTCAAATGTAATCTGAGGAAGATAACAGAATTACTGTTGTTATTAGTCTTGAACATGGACAGGCATTGGCTAAGGAAATCAATTAAAGGATACTGAACAGTTACTGAACTGTACATTCTGTTTTTTTATTTAATCTGGACTTGTCTGTTCCTATATTCCCATATAATTAGCCTGACCTTTATGCAATATACTTACAAATGCATGGGTTTGGCTCAATTGGTAGCATCCTTCTCATTTAGAAAGTTCAACTACCACTCCAGAGCATGAATATAGTACATATCAAGGTCAACACACCAGACCAAATCTGACTGAACGTTGCATTATCACAGGTAGCATCCTTCAGACATCGAACCAAGATCCTGCATGCTTGATCTTGTGAATGAGGCGAACATTCAAGTTCCTGGGGCTTACTTCAAAAGAACAGCCAGTCCTGCCTAGTAATATTCCTCTCCCTATCATCCCACCTTCCAAACTCATGTCTACTACCATCTAGAAAAATAAGGATAGCAGGGACGTGGGAGCGCCACAATCTGCAAGTTCCGCTCCAAGCCATACACCATCCTGATCTGGAACTATATCACTGTTCCTTCAATATTGCTGGGACACGATCTTGGAATGCCCTCTCTATCAGCATTGAGAGTGTATCTACATCCCAAAGACAGCAGTGGTTCAAGAAAGTAGCTCATCACCATTTTCAAAGTGTATTTAGGCGTAGGCCAAAAATGCTGGCCTAACCAGCGACACCCACATGCTGTGATTGAATTTTCATCATTACCATTACTACCAAAACCAGACTAAAAGGTAGATCATCACGCAGTTGGACTTTGTGTGGGATCCAGCTGTGTATGTAACAGCCAACATGCTTGCCTACATAACAGCAGTCACTGCATTTCACAATAAATTGTATGTAAAGTGCTTTGAGATGTTTGAGAGATGTGCACCCAAGCCTTCAAAATGTATCATTAAAATTGAACACTTAATACTATCATTACAATCTTGCAGCTTTACACAGGACATCACGGTAATATATCGCACTATTTGGTTGCACAATCCAAATTTACCACAATTGAAGCCACGTCAGTGTAAATATAACCAGTAACTAAGGAAGAGGGCATGGGTAACTGACAAAGAAAAAAAAATCTACTAAATTGTGTAAATATGCTATTGCATAAGGATCATTGATTTTATTTACCTTTAGACAGAGTCATGGACTACGTCGTTGTGGATCAGGATCAAAGATAATCAAACTGACACCACACAGCTCAGATCCCATTCACACAACTGACTGACAACTCCAGAGGATCAGCAAATTGAGGCCATTTTGCCATGGTTATCTGGGAAGGCAGGAATCTCTGTGGACTACTGAGAGCTGATCTCTTTAATTAATAATTTTAGTAAAGAAACAAGCAGTGAAAAATGACAGATCTTCATTGAAGAGAAAAAAAAATGTTAAAACAAATAGTTTTAGGGTATGAAGCTGAAAATAAAGTACTCCCTTCAATTATCAATTCTTATTCTATTGACAGGAGGAGAACTGGAAACAGAAACTAGGTGGGTCCACTTAATTCCCCAGTACATTTCAGCCAGAGTTATCATCCAATTAGTACATGTCTTTGTTCCAGTTATTATATTTTTCAGCAGTTTCTGTAATAACTCAGGAAATCCAACTGGAAAGGAACACTGTTTATTGTTGAACAACTGTTCTGCACTGGGTCTGCATTTTTATTTCTCAAACAGCCTGTTCAGAGATGTCATTACACACCTGTGGAACAGGTGGGGCTTGAACCCAGGCCTCCACAGCCTGGAGGTAGGGACACTCTCACTGTGCCACAAGGGCCCCTAGGTCTGCTTTATATGTTTCATAATCAACCTGTTTAGAGATGTCATTACACCCCTCTGGAGCAAGTGGGACTTGAAACTGGGCCTCCTGGCTCAGAGATAAGGATACTACCACTGTGCCACAACAGCCCACTTGGTCTGTATTTTTTTTTGTTTTGCCACAAGAACTCAGTGTCTTTTTTTTTATTTTCAACTATTAATCACCAGAAATAATGACCCATGCAAAAGCTGCGGTTGGAAGCCAACAGGATTGGCTAAGTATGGGGACTGAACACATGACCTTGACATTATCAGCACTAAGCTCTGATCATCTGAGCTCACCAGTTAGCTCCTGGTCAGCTTTTTTTTTATTTTTCTGGGTCTGTTTCTTTTTTTTTGATATAACCGGTAGTGTGGATCACGCACAACCAAACAAAAATCACTGTGACCTTTGTTTTTGTCTTTAACTATTAACCAGGACCAGTAATCTAAAGTGCAGCCAATTAGACATTTACATGCAAAACCCATTAGTGGCAATACAAACCATCAGAAGTGAGGGTGCAGGAGTAGGAAGAGACTAAATCAAAATGGAGTTGCAGAGGGAAATAAAGCACTGTATCCCCTAAAATCCTTTAGGACTTGCCCTTATTCTGAGGCTGTATTCTCTATATTTAGGCTATCCCATAGCTAGGGGAAGCATTCATTCTATATCCAGTCTTTTGTGTAGAAACAGCAGTTCTGGTTCTGTTACATTGCTTTACCCATTCTAATGATGTCACAAATAGTTTATAGGTGTAGACAAGGAGTTCGATTCTATCTTTCGGAGGGATCAGATGCAGGACCAGCTCCCTAAAGTCCTAGTATTTATGCCTAACCAAGTGCAGTTGGACTTATCGCTACTGTAATGATTGTAATGAGTTCAGCCAGGTGACCTCATAGAATATGAATTCGCTGACTGGACTAGGTTATTATCCCCAATCAGGGAGCCTTGGCAGACAGATAAGAACAGGGGTATCAGACATCTTGTTCACTCCAACAGCTGGCTCTGAGGGAGTTGGATCAGAGTCAAGGGCCCTCCACATGTAAATAAAGGGTGACCGGATACCGGCCTTATTGGAGTTATTTCAGTGGTGACAAGAGAAAAGCATGCTCCTGTAGAAATTCGCTCGCAACAATCATCTTTGAGTTGGGGTAAGCATTTCTGCATCATGCCATTATTTGGGAAGCTTGACTCGAAAATTAATGAGTAATGCTTCCGAAGCTTGTGGACTCGCAGCTTTTTCGGTTATTAGGAACCTTACTTTCACTGAGGCAACGGACACTAAAACCTTTCAAGATCTGATGGATTTAGTCAAGGAATATTATGACCCCAAGCCTCCTCTAATTCCGAGTTTTACTTGACAATTCAAGAACCAGGGGAATCCGTATCAGGATTTTTGACTAGGTTAAGATGACTGGCAGAGGCATGTGACTTTGGTTTAAACCTTAATGAGATGCTGACAGACTGCTTGGTATGCAGGATCAATGATTAACCATGCAGAAGTGCCTACTGGCTGAAGCCCAACTAGATTCAAACAGGCATTAC